TTTTTAATTTTTCAAATGAATTAACATAATTCATATTAATGTGTATTTAGAGTTTTTAATAATTTTATTCAATTCATTTTTTAGGTAGAATTTCTACTGTTACATTAGATTTAAATGTCTTTAAAGTTAACTATTTTCTAAAGAGTATTCTTAATCTTCTTACCATTTACTAAAAGCTATTTAAATAATTGAATTTCAAATTGTTGTACTTTTAATTTTTACATTGTTACTATATTTTACTTGAAAGTTTATTATTACTTAATATTGAATTGTCTAAACCCATTATTACTGGTCCTCATGTAAAGTACTTCACTTACATTTCTGCTGAGTGTTTATTGTAAAAAAGTTGCTACAAGTAAAGTCTAACAGATAGATTTAACTCATTTGACATATGTTGCTCCCCATTACCCTTTTTACAGGTCCTCATTTGCTTTGCGAATAAATAGTCTTAAACAAGAGAGGGTTGAAATTTTAATATAGTCTTTTCAATAAACGTGAAAAATGTTTCACAATCGTTATCTATGTTTGAGATACTTATGTGTTTATGTAAATTAAGTAAATCTGCACAACTAACACAATTAAAAGACAATTTTCTTTTTTAAAGTAAAAAGATGTTAAAATCACACTTTTTCTTTTGAAATAAATAAAAGGGGTAAAGATTCTAAGGGGTAAGAGTTATAAGTTTTGAGTACACAATGGAGTATTAAAAAAAGAGCGCATATCAATTTGACCTAGTTTTCTACTGTTTAATAAAAATAAGGAATAAGCATATAAATGATTGGTGTTGAATAGACTTACCAAGACCAGTATTTTACAGGTCTGCAAGTGTATATATATTAGAATGTGAACTAGTAAAAACTTATAATATTTTTAGATTCATAATGACAGTTTAGGAAATTTAAAAATTTCAAAAATAATCAAATTATAATTAAACATCTTTGATTCTATTTAATATTTAACTTGTTATTAATTTAAAATTAGTAATTAATTTAAAATTCAGTACTATTTAAAAATAAATTCACTCATTTGATGGATTATAGTTTCTTACTAACTAACTTATATACAGATAAACCCTAATAATTTCATTCAAAAATGATTTGTAGAAGCTGAGATATGTGTGTTTAAGCGTAAAAAAACACTCTTAATTTTTTCCTTTTTTATTTTTTAGTTCTTTGCAGAAGCAGTTTATTTTTTAAATATCAAATACCAGAGCATGCTTAACAAGACATTTTCCTAGAGTTAAACAAAGGTACTTTAGAGAGAACCTGAGTAAAAATCCAACATTAAAATTTACTACTGTAAATGCACCCATTACCAAGGCATATTTTGAAACAAATGTGTTTTTTTTGGAGAAATAAGATTATCTTTACCAGATAATCTTATTGGCTTCGTTAACATTTTGGTTAGTGGCTTCTAAAGCAACAAGAGCTCATTACTAACCAAATCAATAAAAATCTTTTCACTTTTTTGTTTAACGACTTTAACAACACCTTTTGTGTTAAGCGTTATTCTATTTAAACAGCTTAAATACTTTATTAACTTTAAACAACTTAAATACTTTATCAACTTAATATTAGGTATCACAATAAGTCCAAATTTATCCTCCCAAATGGGATGATAAGTTTATACTTATCATGTAAGCAATAAGTATAAGTACGAACTTGTGGACAAACAGGGCAAAAGATTGTTGCTATGACAAGCACTTTGTAGTTGCTGAAAAGAGTAGAACTTTTGTGACATCATCAACTTTGATTTTAGAACTTTATAATCAAGTCTTCGAAAACAACTTTTACCACTTTTGATTATACGCTAGAACTTATTTATTTTGACCTAATTTTGTGCTGCTAGGTTTAGAAAACTTTAGAATTCTACATTGACATCATTATATTTTTTCTTTTGAATCAATATTATTTGTTTTTTAAAATAAGCGTTTATTTTCAATCGTATGACTTTCCTATAAATTTTATAGGAAGCTAAAAAACAAAATAATGTTTTTTTATAGAGCACGAGAACCAAATAAAGTTTTTATGTTGAAATATAATAAATATAAAATATTCTCTTAAATATAATAAATATTCAAAAAAGATGCTGATCACCTCATCATATTTTCTGAAATTTTTTTATTATATGTAAACAATGGGAACTTTTTTTCTAAGCCGTTTATCACTATGACCTTTTTGTTCTCATACCAAAATGACATTTTACAAATTCTTAAATTTTTAATTAATAACAAATTTTGGTAAACAACATCATTTATTAGAGATATTTGCTGAATTTTTAAATTTTTAGTTAAAAAATATTTATAGATTTTACACTTAATAAATTTACAGACAGCGCTTTAGTAAATAAAGCAATAATTAATGTTTTAAGGCAATAATTCAAGACAGATGGTGATTAAAATTGTCAATGTGTTGCAGCATTTAAAAACATATTATATTTAATGTTTCCCAAATTACGTTGTATTTGGCAAGTATTTTATATTAAAACTTCTTTTAAAATTACAAATAAAAAAACTACCAAATTTAAAAAGTTTTTCATTAAACAATTTCAATTTTAAAATCTACTCAATAATGCTACATTTTTACAATCATGACCAATAATTATTCAATTTTAAAAATAAAATAAAATAACAATACATGTTTTACAGCATAAATTTCATAAATATACTCCTGCATAAGAACTTTGAGAATACTTGTACCCGATGAAAGTTTAGCAAATAAATGCATTAATTTAACTTTCATAAGGTTAACTCATTCGCTACCAGCCATTTTAACAGAAATCTTTACGCGCATTTTTTTGAATAAAAATTGGATGGCATAACATTGACAACTAATTAAATTTCAAATAGTAAATCTCTTTAAAAGCATAACAATCTATATATCAATAGAAAGCTAAACAAATGAACTTTTTAATTAAATAAGTTTTCAACACCCATTATTGAACAATAAGAAATGCAAAGTGCTTAAAACCATTATTTTATAAACAGTAATTAAAAAATAAGTCTAAAACAAAACTCATTTAATGTATAAAAATAATCTTTTTCTTCAAAAGACATTTTAATTACTTAACTAAAGACTTATACACTTCTACATAAAATGTAATAAAAAAGCTCAATCCAACAAATTGCCCACATTTCCAGCCAATCAGAAAATATTGGAGTATTGACAAAGAATATGTGCGTAAAACAGGCAAGACTATTAATTCGGCACATGAGTTGTTGACAATAAGCAAGTAAATTACAATAAGAGTTGTGCAGAAGTTACTACCCGTAATGCACATTTATTTTTTAGAAATAATAAAAAAAAAATTTAAACTGAAAGTATTTTTATACTCTTTAAATTCTTGACTTAAAATAAAAATGAAAAGAATTTTGAAAAAACTTAAATATATATGAAAAGCTCTTTTTCACTTTATTAGATTTTATACATTAGTGTGTCAATCCTTAATTTTTTTTTTTTTAATTTCTTTTTAATTTCTTCCATTGGTTATTATTTTTATTAGTTGTCAAAACAAAATTAATACATTATTGTCCACAATTATTTTTGTTGCATTCTTAATTATTTTTGTTGCACCTATAATTATTTTAGTCTTAAGCCCATAATGTCAAACGAAAACAATACAAACCTCGATAATTTTAATGTTGAAACCAAAAAACAAAACTGCAACCAAAGAAAATATTTCTACAAAAAAAAGAATGCTAAATAGCAATGAATCAAGTCCATCTATCACAAGTGTAACAGGTCTTTCAATTAGAATCGTTCAAAATTGTATACGAAAACTTAAACAAAATCAAAATACAATGCCTAAAAACATGGTAGAGCAGCACAAGATAATATTGTAAGAAAGAGAGATATTAAATTATTAATTAATACAAATAATGATCAGCATGGCAGAATTAATGCCTGAAGAACATAAATACTTGAAAACTAAAAAAGAGAATTAAAATAAATGGGATATACTTGTTCATGGGATATATAGGTTTAAATCAGTCATTGTTGCGAGAAATTCAGCTTAGGTAATAACAACAAGGTTTACATTTTGCAATGTTTCTTTTCTGAAAAATTCTGATCTGGTTTGTATTGATGAAACCAGTTTTAATTTTCACAATTCACAACATTGATATGCATTATTGGGAAGTACCCTATATATTACAGTCCTTACACAGAGAGGAAGAAATGTTAGCCTAACATGATCCATTTCAGTTTCAGGAAATTTCAGCTACTAGTTTTAAACTAAAGGTTTAAAAGGGCCTTTAATAATGGCTAGCATGAACAAGTGGATCAAACAAGATTAAAGACCAGTTTTAAGAGATCAAAGATATGTTGTAATAATGGACGTTAATTCAGCGTAATAAGTTTATGTGATTAAATTGTGTTTGGAATTTTAGTCTTAATTTACTGTAACACATTTACAAATAAAGAAATTTTGTAACAAAAATATTTATGGATGCAACTAAAGTAACTATGGATGCAATGAAAATAATTATGGATGCAACGAAAATAATTATGGATGCAACGAAAATAACTATGGACGTGATAAAAAAATAATTGTGGACAATACTATAAATAAAATGTCATATTATAGATAAAATGACAGACTTAAAAACAGCAATACTTTGAGTAGTTTTTTCAGCTGTTAGCAGGAGTTGAGGCCTTCTCATCAAAACTATATTTTTATGAGAAGGTGTTCTCGGGAGTCAAGCCTTCTCATCAAAATTATATTTATAAGGCCCTCTAGATAAGTCTTTGCAGCAAAAATATATAAGCTTTTGTTAGAACACTATTATTTAAATAAAATTATATAAATCTAAATTCTTAGTTTTTTATTTATTAAGTAAAAATGCTTTAGATGTTTAACAAAATTTATATTAAAAACAAATTACAAATAGTGTGATTACAGTGTGTCAACTACACAATACACTGATACATGTGTTACAGTGTATCAATTACACAAATAGTAATAAAAACATTATTAATATAAAATAAAAAAATTATTCATACCACAAGCTTTTGATTTAAAATTATTTATTTTGGCTTTTGTAAGTATATCAATTTTTAATCCAATACCAGCATTCATCCGAACAAACTCTCTGTAAATCTAAATATTAAGTACTTAAATAGTATAGAAACCATAAATAACCATAAAAAACCAAGTATAAATAACCAAGTATAAATACAAAGTATTTTAATAGCAATCAAATAAATATCAGGTACTTTACCAACGCAGTAAAAAAAAAAACATTAAATACTTTATAAAATACTTTATAAACATATTAAAGCAATAAAGGTTTTCAAATTTGAATTTTCATTGCTAAAGCAAAATTCCATAAAAACAAACCAATAAAAATTTCATATTTAAAATTAAAAAAACTTATAAATATTATACTTATTTTATAATAATTATTTTTTTTGTTCTTAATTGCGGCAAAGCAGTAGTGATGTATAACAGCACTTGCTGCTTTTCAAGTTTGAACCCCCGCTACATCCCTGGTAGTGACACTTACCACTGAAGAACAGAATTTTTTTTTTTTTAAATCAGAGGTTTAAGAGTGCCTAACCCTAGTCTATTCAAAATGAGATTTTGTCCCAACTAGTTCCCAGATCCCAAAAACCTTTAATTTATTTCTATTAAAATGACATTTATTAAGTCTTGCTCATTTTAAAATATTTTTATTTATCTGAGCTTTTTGAACAAAAAAATACAATTCCAAATTTGCCAGAAAATTAGATTTAAAAAAAGAGTTTTTAAATGTATCAATATTTACAGATTTACAATTTCTTGAAACAAATAATAGCACTTAAAATAAACCTTGCGTCCTTCCCTTGTTTTAGGACAATGTACAGTAATATATAAAAATTTGTTTCCATAAAATTTGTTTGCACTGTTTCAAGCAATGCAATATTTATTTTCAAAACTTTTATTCATTTATAAACTTAAAAACATAAATGATATACTTGTTGAGAAAGTTCTCTAGTAGGAGACACAATAACTGCTCTAATTCCAGTCTTTTTTGACTCCTAAACACAAAATAATATTACAATATATATAGCGAAATGAAATATCACTGATAATATCATAGTGAAAAATGAATAAGTGACAAGTGACAAGTTAGGGTATACAAATGACAAGTTAGGGTATACAACATTATTAAAGATATTATAGTTTGATATTATTTTTAACTTATATAAATACAATACTACTAGGAGGTTTCACTACAATGCTACTAGGAACGCTACAATATAAAAAAAAAATTTTTATAAGTATAAATAATTACTTAAACCAACTAAAAAGATTCTAAAGGTAATAAATTGTACTTGATAAAAAAAAAGGTAATAAATTGTACTTGATAAAAAAAAAAATTTCACCATTAAATCAATTTTAAAGTGGATCAAATATTAGACCTGCCCCACTTTTATTGTATATGATGGCCCCCTACTAAAAAAGTTACCACTGAGCCTGGTGGATACAATAAATCAAAAACAGCTTTTTATTATTTTTAATTTCTTTCCACGCAATCTCAATTGATAAGAATTTGTTTTTCTTTGTTGTAATGACTTCCATACAATAAATTTATCAATATAGTTAGTTGTTGGGTGTAGTGTCAATATAGTTGGTTGTCGGTTGTAGTGTCAATATAGTTAGTTGTTGGTTGTAGTGTTAAAAAAGTTAGTTGTCGGTTATAGTGTCAATAAAAATAGTTAGTACTTAACTTTCTTTATGTTTCTATACTTATAAAAAACATAATATTGTTTTTGCAGTCTGAGTTTTCTCATTCGATATACTCTTAGTTTTATATTTTAAAACTCATTTATAAAAATTTAAAAAAAATACGAAATCTTATTTCCAACATCTTCAAACAAAACCATTTCTATTCAAGTTTTTACATGAACACACTCAGGTGTGACGATTGTAAATAATGTTATTCGTAATTACCTAACTTTGATAAATATCAAAAGTATGCAGTTGTGCCTCCTGTGCGTCTATACAGTTCTGCCCCAGAGGACAGTTTATAGAAAGAATACAGTTTCATAGTATGCTTATTAGGTTATGTTGATATCAAAAATGAAATAACGCTGACAACACATATCTTTAACACTAAAATCAAATATTGCTTACTTCTCAAATGAAAGGTCTACATAAAAACTTGTCTTTATGCTTTTATACTTATATAAAACATAATATAATATGTTATATAAAATATGTTACATATAATATAGGTATAATATGTTATATAAGTACAGTTATATAAAAAATAAAACACAGTTATAGTATAAAAAACCGAAAAAGAAATACAAAAATACAAAAGTAGTAGTGCTTACTATTTTTGTATTTTTGTAATATTTCAGACTGTCATCAGACACCTTAATTCTCAAAACTTAAGTTTTCAGAAAAAGAAAAAACAAAGAATATTTTATTATTTTTATTTTTTAAATGTTATATCTTTTTTAATAATTTACTATGAATAATTTATTTTAAATTTAAATATTTTTAAATTTACAGTTTTGCAAATAACAATTATTTTGTATTTTGAAAATTTGCTTATTGAACAATTAATAATAATACTCGCACTAAAACTTGAAAACTTTCAGGTTGAACCTGTGTATTACATAAATAAATATAACCAATGATTTTCTACATATCCTTTTATTACAATGTATTTTTATTAGATGATTAAATTATTAAATACTTTTTGAAAACTTTAATCTGGTAAAATTGTAAAATTAACTACTTTATTCTGGTGCTTAAAAGAAACTACTTTTCTCTTCTTGTAAATATAAATACAGACATTGCAAAAGTTATGTTCTTATAATATATATTTTATATAAACTAGCTTATTTCAAGCATTCATACTTGTGATAAAAATCTGTCAAGTGATAAAATCAATCTATCAAAAACAAACAAGAACTAAATTTTTAAAGGTGAAGCTAAGTTAATTTAAAGTAAAGTTTTTAAAGTTTTCAAAAATTTTTATTGTATTTCTATTATATGAACAAATATTCACATGACTGCTAGATTATTTTGATGAAATTAATTTTTTTATTTTTTAATAGAAGACACTGGAGGGCCGCCAGGGCAAGCTCCCCATTATTTTTTATAGCAGAGTCTTGAAGTAGATTTTTCAACACCTTTTAGACTAACTAGAGCTTTGAAACTTTTAACATTTGTGTAGTTTTGATTAAAATGTTTTAAAATTGTTTCTACCACCGAATGGAAGCACCTTTTTCAGATAATTCTATATTCAATTATCTTTCTACCACCGAATGGAAGCACCTTTTTTAGATAATTCTTTATTCAATTATCTTTCTACCACCGAATGGAAGCACCTTTTTCAGATAATTCTATATTCAATTATCTTTCTCAAAACATGATCATGATCCATCTAAAAGTTTTTATTTTCACATGATTTTTTATTTTTTTAATCCAATAAATTTTAAAAAGCTTATAAAAGTTTTATGATAATAAAAATATTCTAAAAATTTTTTATTAACAGTTATTTCCATACCAAAACTGTTGTAAGTTAAAATAAACTCTAACTGGTTTGAATTGATGTTGCTATAACTGTATTAAGAAACTGGGCGAATAGTAGTGTAATTACTGGGTAAAAATATGAAATTGATCTTTCAACAATAAAAAAGATCCACCCTAAATAAACAACCTAAATTCAATTGGTAAAATGATAAAAGAAGATAGAAAAAGGAGAAACATAGGAGTGTTAATACAGTGTTATATAGTGTAATACAGTGTTAAGACAGTAAGGAATATTAAATGCTTGTATAAAATGTGATGAAGCAAGTTTTGAAATTCAATCACCATTTTGGTTTACCCAAAATCTTTTTACATTTTGGAACGATAGACTTTATTAGAAAACTTTGCTGAAACCAAATCAAAACTTACAAAAAATGATTGAATAATTTGCCAGTTAAATTCTCCAAGTTATATTATGTACAAAGATTTGTTTGCTAACTATTGATTTGGTTCCAAAATAAATGGAATACTGAATTAAACATTTCGATAAATATACTTCTATAAGAAATTACTACACAATATTTTACACTGTATGGAAGAGCAATTACAAATTAGTAGAAAATCACTTAGCAAAATTTTTTCTCATTTAACACTGTGTTTCATCAATAAAGACTCATCAGAAATTTACACAAAAATTACACAAAAAGCTATAAAACTGGTACAGATATATCATTTCACGGATAAGAGTTTGTATTTATTACAACGGTAATAAATAAATAGTTTTAAAGAAATAAGATAGTAATTACTATATTTAGTCTTTATTAGAATATCTCATTAAAAATATATTTTATAATTTTTTAATAAAATGATATTTCCAAAAAAATTTAAATAAAATCTTAATTCTAATTTGCTTTTTGCATATCACATGCCAAAAAATTTTGGCTTTAACAATTTACAAAAAAGCTGCGTCATTTTTAATGGAGTTAACGTAATTTTAGCAATCAGAAATTATCAAGTTTCAAATTTTCCACTTGGATGAGACAATATGTTTCCTGTTTTTTCAATCTTGTGATCTTTTTTTAAATATACTAACATAAATACAAAAATTCTACACAAAACAGTTTAAGTAAAAAAGACTTTTATTTATTAGATAAGTTTTCTTCACACTATCCTGTATGAAGTGTTATTTAAGTGGATTTTTAACATTTGCATATAAAATATATTTATATATATTGTTTACATTATAAGCGCAACTTTATTCCTATGCAATAAAGCTGCACATATTTAGAGAACCCGCTTGAAGTTGTTGATTAATTGCAATCGGTATAAGAGTTTATAAAATGGTTTGTTTTTCAATTAAATGTATAAATTCGATAAGGGAAATAAATGTTATAGATCAAAATTAAGGAGATGTTGCCCCAATGCGATTTTCAAATGAAAGTAAAACTGTAAAACTTGACATATGTTTTAGTATGTTTTAACATTGCATAATTTGAAGTTTACGTAAGTTAGATATTGGCATAGACTTTTGCTCATATTTTCTTATGAACAAAAGCGACCTTTCTTGCCATTAACTTAGGTGTAATGGCTGCCGCGAGTAGAAATCAATAAGTTCTGTGTCAAACATGTTCAAATGAGCATTTGAACATGTTTGACACAGAATTGCTTATTATATTATAATAATTTGAACTTATTTTTGTTTTTTCTTAGTGGTTATTATTATCGGCAACAAAATTCATTAAGTCAAATTATACGATATACAAGAGTTAAATTATACGATCGCGTTTGCAAACTCTGGTAAAATATTAGGTCTTTAAAATTTTAGTTCATGCAAAGCTGTGTACTTTGTTTATAAAGAGCAAATTATTAAAAGTTTGCTAGCAACAAAGTTACAAAAAACAAAACAAAAACAATAGATTTACGTCTACAAAAGTAATAACACTTTAGTCACTAACTGCATTATAAAAGTAATAAAACTATAATAGTGTTATTACATTTATAAAACACTTATTACTTTTAAAGTTCCTTCTTTGTTCAAACAACATTATTAATTCCAAACATTTATTAAAAGTAGAAAAGCATCTAGAAAAAATAAAGCGGATATTCAAATATTATTAAAAATTTCAGGAACTTTCACAGATCACTTAAACAACGTTATAAAAAAGTACTTTATAAAAAGTATAGCATTATTAAAAACATTACTCAAAAACGCGCGTTGATTTTAAAATTAAACAATAACAAATTTTTATTGGTTAATTTTAAAATTAATGCGTGTTTTTTCGGTCCATTAGTAATGTTTTTCATAATGCTAAACTTTTAATACGACACGTTTTCATAAAGTTGTCTGTCACGATTTTATAAGTTACTTTAGTTTTAATATTATTTGAACATCCACTTTATTCTTCTAGATATTTTTCTACTTCAATTAAAATTTGGGAATACTAATGTTGCTTGAACAAAGAATGGATTTTAAAAGTTATAAGTGCGTTATAAAAGTAAAAACACTATTATAGTGTTTTTACTTTTATAATAGTGTTATTACTTTTGTAATGCAGTTAGTGACTAGAATGTTCTTACTTTTGTAATCCTAAGTTTATTGTTTTGTTTTTTATTTTTTTGCTAACAAATTTAAGTTGATTCTCCTCTTATAAACAAGGAACACGGTTTTGTATAAACTAAAATTTTTAATGCTAGATATTTTTCCAGATTTTGCGTTTTGCATTCGCTTAATTCAATCCTTGTTGCTACATTAAAATTATAAAAATAAATCTTACAAACACATCGCAATTTTTATTTTTACTATCCTCTTAAAAAAAAATTAAGAAAAGGAAAATCATTCTTTTTATTGTAGACTTCAAATTGTTTTTTTTTTGCTTTGCCTTATCTAATTTTGTTGCTGAATGTAACTCTAAAGAAACAAAAATAAAAACAGTACACAAATTATTTAAATTATTAATTTGTTTTTATTTTTTTCTATTTCAATCTCTTTTTATTTTGTTAGTTTTGTTTGTTTTTTTTTTGAAACGTTTTCAGCGTTATTATAAAACTTGCAAACGGCCGTGTTCACGTTTTCTAAAATAATCTAATCGCGTGTGGTCATACGAAACAAAAAACCGCATGCCTTTCCTGGGAAGGCTTGATATATATATATATATATATATATATATATATATATATATATATATATATATATATATATATATATATATATATATATATATATATATATATATATATATACATATATATATATATATATATATATATATATATATATATATATATATATATATGCAGGCCTTGTTTTAAAGCGTTCTGCATAGAGCGATTTACATACGCCATAAACGATTTTAAGTAAGCAGGTAAGCGATTTTGGTTAAGCGACTTCATATCATTTTTTAACTTTTAAATTATTCTGTAAGCGGTAAGATAAATTAATTAATTTTTAAAAAAATTGCATTAACTTTTGAATGACATTTAGGTAAAAATATTTGTTACAAAAGTTTGAATAACAATTATGTTAGATATAAGCGCTATTTACTAATAAAAAAACTCAAATAAAAATAAAAAATTATTTTTATTTTGTTTTTATTTTATTGTAATGATTGATTTTTTGTTTGAAAAACACTAATATTTAAGCCAGAAGCAAAGATCAAAATAATGTAATTTAATTCTGATAAAAAATAAATAATTTAAAACTAATTTAATAAAAATATATAATTTTATTCTGATAAAAAAAATATTTAATTTAATTTAGATTTTAAAAATATCTAATTTAATTTTGATTCGAAAAATATATTAAAGTCTATTAAAATTAAAGATAACGCTTGTGTTTAAATTAACTGTCAAATTTATTCAAAAATATTACTAAATATTATTCAATATTGAAATTTTATTTATTCTTAAAAAAAATTAGCTCATTTTTATGGTTTTCCTTTTTAAATATTTCTTTATTTTACTCAAAATTTAATTTTAATAAATGGCTGAATCAAAAATCTGCACAAAATGTAATTTAAACCTTTTTTTTTTTTTTAATAAGGCAAGTTAAGTTACAAAAATTATTTTTTAATAAACCATTTATACAACTATATAATTTTAATAAATAATGTTTGGAAAAATAATCTTTGTTTTCACAACAAAATCATTAATAAAATAATAAACTTTTAATAAATAAGTTAAATAAATTATCATTTTTTTATTTATTACTCATTACTCTTTAATTTTTTTATGGTAAATAACTTATTATGCCAACTTCTGTTTATTAAACCTCCTTGAGAGGATTATAATTGTAATAAAGTACATTTATTTACATAAATAAAACAAATTTGTTACAAGTAGAGTTATAAATTAAAATGTTTGGATGACTAACTAACCACAAAAAAATAACTCCATAAAAAATATTTTTCTGAAAAAGTTTTCCTAATATGTTTTGTTTTTATGCACCTTACTATTTATTATTATTAACCTGGTTTTATGGTAATTATAGAAAAAAAATGTGATAAATCAAAGACATTAAATTTATGTAAAAAATCAAGTAAAATCTTAGGATTGTTTTCTACTGAAGAGGTATCGGGTATATTGAATTTCAAAATAGAAAGTAACTAAAATACCTTAACTTTATTGTTATTGCATTTAATAAATTTCATTGACTCTATCTGAGCTTTGCTTGTGCAAATAGTATTAGCAGGAGCATTATCTTTTTCTATTTATAAGCATATCTAACCTAATCAAGCATATTTAATCTTTTTTAACACTATAATACCCTATCCTTAGCGTTAAGAGTCAGTTTTCAAAATTCTTATCACAAACCTCAATGAAAGCTTCTGAATGTAATTAAACTAATTATTGTTAGCACTTTAATCAGCCAATGTTAAAATCCAAGCAAACAAAAAAAATTTAAAAACCTTTAAATGACATAAGATTGGTAAAATAAAAGCAAGTGTCTTCCCACTTCCAGTAGGTGCACATGCCAACATCTCACGATGCTAAACATTTCAATAAAAAAATATATATATTTTTTAAAAAATAATTATATATTTGATTTCAACAAATAAAAAGATTTTATAACAACCTGTAAAATTACTGGTATAGCTTGCATTTGAATAGGAGTAGGAACTTCAAAACCATTTTCCTTGACATTTTTCATAATGATAGTCGGAACATTAAATCTTGATTACAAAAGCAATTTTGAAAAAAATTTATAGATTAAACAAAAATTTATAAAGAATTACAAACAAAACTAAAAACCTTTCTTTCAGATCAAGGAAAGATGAAATTGGATCAGCAATGTCAAAACCATAAACATGTATGAGATGTTCCTTACGAAAGATATTTATCTGCAAAAAAAAAATATCTAAAAGTCCAACATAAGAATAATATAAATTAATAATAAAAAAGGTAATCATTTAATTTAGAATAAATGTTGAAGTATTTTAATCAAAGCTAAATACTTTTTCAATGTGTTGTTGATTAACTTTTTCTTTAGATACATTTTTGTCTTTAACTTTTTTATTTTTACAACTTAGCAAGGTAATGCCATCATCTAAAAAATAGCAAAAAAAAAACAATAGCTTGACTACAGCTGCAATTAAAATAAAAATAAAAAACAATAACTTGACTACAGCTCCAATTAAAATAAAACAGTAACTTGACTAAAGCAACAATTAAAATTAAAGGATTTTCTTGTTCAAAAATTTTTCCAAAGTACTTTATATTTTTGTATTTTAGGATCATCAATAAAACAGAACTTAATAGCAATAATAGCTAAAGATGTTTATATAATCTGTTTATCTGTTTCCGATCAATCAACTTTTGTTGCAAAAACTAAAGGTAATACAATAAGATTGAAAAAACAAACAAAAAGTGATAGAATTTTATACAAAAATTTGTAAAACCAAAAATTTTAAACTGAAGAATTTTAAAAACTGCTAAAACTTAAAATTAAAGTTTTTATTGGGTTAAATGGATCATTTTAATGGATCACTTTTATTGATTAAATGTCAGGTCAGGTTATTCTGCTACTGGCAACATGTAACCCGAGTACAACCTGCTTTATGTGTTGCTGCCTTGTAAGATACGCTTTTTTAGGCAAAGGCCAGGAGAAACTATCTCTGATATAAAACACCCCCCTGCCTTGGGGCTTTTGGTTGAATAACAGCTAGAGATGGTGTCTCAATAAAAATACTCATCTTAGGCAGATATTAAACGCATCTGGCAACTGTGTTGCAGAAGGTCTCCTAGACAAGACTTAAGGGGTAAACAGATTCTATCTGTTGACCAGTCTCGCACCCCTTCTTCATCTATTTGACTGGCATAGATGTATTTATAATACATTGTTTCCAGTTTAAGATGTTAAAGTATCTATAACAAGAGTAAACCTGTTAAACCATCTCTCTTGTATGATTCAGATTTTGTCACCTCACCTGAAACAAAACTGAATTGTCTGCTAAAAACTTCTTATCTGTTCTCTTGATTCCACTAGTTGTGATCTACCTGATAACAGGCGACAAACAGGTTAATCACTTGCCTGACCTTTGTATTAATCCAGCTTCTGTATCCAAAGTGATTTCCTACTTAGACTCTTCTACTGCTTGTGGTCCAGACAACATAACTGTTATAGTCTTACAGAAGTGTTCTCTGGGGCCTGTCGTCTATACTTTAAAAACTATTTAAAACAAGCGCTCATCAGAGTCTTGTTTTCCAGCCTGCTGGAAAGCAGCATCTGTTATCCCTATTTTCAAAAGTTTTGGATAATAATCTGTTTCGCCTAACTACCACTTTATTAGTCTTCTTACTATCATAAGCAAGGTTTTTGATTCAACTTGAATTTAATAACTTACTAATCATCACTAATATCTAACAACTTCTGAATCTAATAACTTCTGATCATCAATATGGATTTCGATCATCTAATTCTACTGCTGATTTGTTAATGGTAATAACAGATAGATTTTATCATTAATTAGATGTGAAGAGGATAAGGCTATGGCTCTCGACATTTCTAAAGCCTTTGATAAAGTTTGACATTCTGGTCTTCTCCATAAGCTTTCTTCTTATGGTGTATCAGGTAAAAGTCTTTAAAACTATTGAATCCTTTCTTACCAATCATAGTATAAAGGTTGTCTCAGACAACATTCTTGACCTTATACTTTTTTTAAATTACATTAACAATCTTCCAGAAATTCTGACATCTAAGGCTAAGAATGCTAATAATTTTAATTCTACTACTTATTCTTGTCATGAAGCCTCTAATTGTTTGGAGGGGACATTTGAGCTTAAAAAGAATCTCACTTCTGCTACAGCATGGGGTTCGCAGTGACTGGTGAACATTAATTCAGATAAAACCAAATTTATTTCAGCAAACTGTTATCGCAATAATTTAGATCTTCCTATATTTATGAACGGTAAGGTACTTGATGAGTGATCTAACCTTTATCTTCTAGGATTAATTTTTACTTCCGATCTTTCTTGGAAAACATATATCAAATCCATTGCAAAATTAGCATCTGCTAAGGTTGCATCCCTTTATTGTGCTTGACACTTTCTTACTCTGGATTCTATTCTTTATCTCTATAAATCTCAAATTAAGCCTTGTATGGAATACTGTTGCCTTATCTGGAGTGGATCTTCCAATGATGCCCTTTCTCTTTAAGACAAGGTGCAAAAATGCATTGCAATTATAGTTAGACCTGTTCTTGCAGCTAACCTCCAACCATTACCACATTGTCGTAATGTTGCTTCTCTTTCTCTTTTCTATAAATAATATAATGGGCACTGCACTAAAGAGCTAGCATCTTTTGTACCATCTACTAAATCTCATTTTTGTGTTACTCATCACTTAATTAAGTCTTATCCTTGACAGTTCCTAAGTGCTCCAAAAGTTCTTATTTGTCTAGTTTTTTTTTCTTTAAACATCAGTCTTTTGGAATTTGCTTCCTTCATCTTGTTTTCCTGATTTATATAATTTGCAACCTTTTAAGTTGTCTGTTAATTGTTATTTTGCTATATAAATTTTATCTTTTCTCTTCTAGTACCTTCCAACTTTAATAGTAGTTGGTTGCAGCCTTGTTAGAAATGAAGATGTTGAAAAAAATGCAGTTTACATGCAGTTTACTTGCAGTTAAGTTGCAGTTTACCCACAGTTTACATGCAGTTTACTTTGTACTATAGCAACAATAGCAACAATAGCAACAATAGGAATTTGGACTAGAGCAAATCCAAAATCAAAATATATTTTTTAATAATAATATAATTTTTTTTAATGAAATGTAAACTATATTAAAAATACCTGGTAACTTTCTTTTCTTTTTTTTCTTTTTATTTATATCTTCTATTTTGACATTTTCTACATCATCACCAATAACAGTTTTGGTTTCATTAAAAAAAGTTTTGCTGCCATCTTTTTTGCTACAATCTTTTTTTGTACCAAAAAAATCAAGCTCTTCAATAAAATCATTTTTATCAATAGTAGAACTGGAACTAGATATTATCTAAACAAAAAGTATTGAACATTTAATGTATTAGTCTATGCATATTTATCAAGCCTTTTTTTTTAGATCATAATATATATATAAATTAATTTTACTACTCTCTAGAATAAACATTTAAAAATTTTGTTGTTTCTTTTATGTTAAAAATTTTGTTGTTTCTTTTATGTAAAAAATTTTGTTGTTTCTTTTACTTCTTTGTTCATAATTATGCACTAAGATTATTATTCAATCATTATATAATTATTCAATAAACATTCAACAATTAATACAAAGGTTCTTTATTAAATTATCTAGATTATTATCCTATGCCATTTTCAAATCAGAACCATTATGAGTAATTACAAAGCTGAGATTAACCAACTTTTTTAGCAAAATATTAATTTGCTATTCTAGGCAGCTTCTTTATTTTTTAGAATGCATTTAGATCTTTTTCCTGTTGAAACACAAATTGCCATTGATTAGTTTTAACATTTTTCATTCTTTCCATCTTTATTCCATTCTACATTTAGAGTATAAAAAAGTAGAAACAGTATTTCTAGCAATACAGTGTTTTCTCGCTCTAAATGCTTGAATAAAAAAAATGTACTTTTTATAAGAATAGAAAAAGACTTTTTTGTAAAACTAATCAACCTGAATTACAACACTGGAAAAGTTTGATTTCATTTGAAACTTAGGTTTTAAATTAAATGAAGTAAATGTAAACTTATTTTTGTTAAATACAACTTCTTCTGGTTGTATTTAGAAGAAGTTGTATTTAACAAAAATAAGTTTACATTTACTAATTTTTTTGTTTTACAAAAAATGTTACATTACCCTAATATTAAACAAATTATTACTCTAATTTTAAATAAGGTATAAAAATGTTTAAAAGCCTAAAAGTTTTTCCGATGAATGTTGCAAAGTATTGTAAGTTTAAAAATTGATTTCATTTTTATTAAAATGTTGCTCAATAGTCTCAATATAGTTTTGTGACATCAGTTGCTATGTATAAAGCCTAAAAATTCTTTAAATATTAGTTTAAATCATTATTGAGTCTCATTTGGAAATTTAGCTTTTCAGTAAAGGCTAACAGTCAACAGTACTTTATTGGAAATAAACTAGAATGTAATACTCTCTTGCAAAAGTTTCAAATCAGTTAAATAATTTTTAGGTAAATCCAAAATTTATTGAAAATGACATAAACAAATAAGTGACCGTGGCTGATATTTATTTGAGGCCAGGGCCAGGGCTGGGTTTGATAAAATAAAGCCCAGGCCAGGTTTGTGTCTGGGGCTGCGTAAATATTTATACATCCTAAAGTATATTTTTTTTATTCAAATTTCATTTTATATTTTGTATATATTATAACATAATATATAAACATCATTATGATCAACATGATTATCATAATATTTTTTTAATGCTGTTTCTTAACTAAATCTCGTTCATACAATATGTAAGGCACTCTCTTCAAGTTATCTTACTTCTACCACTACCATTTTCTCTTGAAGCTGCTACCTCTCTACATGTAATACAATCTACAATCTGATTACAATCTGATTATCTGATTGTCTACAATCAAGACAACTTTTTTTTTAAATTAAAATTAAAAATCAAATAAGATCATATATTCTACATATCAAATAAGACATTTTGTCAATAAAGATTCTATAAATCAAATAAGACATTTCATCAATAAAGATAGTCATGTTTATGTTGGGATAACATTAATTGCTTCATCTTGAGTTCAAAATCAATCCAGTTAATGAAAACATGGACTCCACTAATACACTCGATGTTGGTATGCTAAAATACTCTTTTGCAAGCACTGCTAAGTGTGGATACTTTGCATGATAATTTCGCCAAAATAATAAAAAATTCAGTTCTTCATCTGTCGTAGGTGTATAAGAGATAAATTGCTCTACTACCAAATCAATTCGATAATCTTTTTCTGCAGAAGTAACACTTTTCTTTATCTCTTGAAATAGTTGTCGCTTAGCACTAGGACCTAATTTTGAATCTTTATCATTTTCTGACTCTCAGGCCTTGTTAAGAGATTTTGTTGCATAACGACAAAAGCGCAACGTGAATATATGTAACTATATTAAATAAAGATATTTACATTGTTAAAAATATTTGAAGATAACACTATTAAATGATAATTCCAAGAATTTATAATTATTCCTGGAATTTTAAAATTATAACTACTTATAGAAATATATCTACTATATTTATAGAACATATATATTTACTAATAGAACTCTCTTAATGCATAGACTATACCTATCACTACCTAGAAGTGTTTTGCTGTCATTTATGTAAAATGGTCTTTTATTTAATTTTATTATTCTGACTGATTTTAAACTTTTGCGAGAAACTGTAATAACAAGGATATCATCTGACAACATATACATTGTAGCTTGGAATTAAATCCTTCAAAGATATTCCCAAATGTAAAAGAGAGTTTATTTAGCTAACATCTAAAATAGCAGGATTAAATATCAGAAAATTTTTAGCTTTAGATCGTTTTTAGTTTAGTTTTTATAGTTATTAAAAGAGCTCATTTGTCAACTACGATACAGCAAAGTTCCTTTACGGTAAATGCAAGTTCATAGTATCAGGTGAAAAACCATATCCACAATGCTGACATAAACAATCATCAATTGAAGAATCAGAAGAGAGTAAAATAAAACTTATTGAAGAAATTCTGGAGATAATTTCTTAACATTAATTTGTGTGAACTTGAAGTTTTTCTTCTAAAAGTTCATATAAGAAATAGATAAAAACATTTGAAGTAACAGTTATTACAAAATTTGAAATTGTTCAGGATGTTACTAAATCTGTTACTTGGTTTGAAACAACTGCACTAGTTTAAAACAACACAATTTTAATGCATCCATGATCTCAAGAAACTTTCCTTTAACTCCTGATTTCAAAAGTATATACCAAAATGATCTTTATTCAATTTTATGTCACTTATGGCTAGCAAGTTCAGATTGTGGCACATTTTCTGTGATTTGTGAAATACTTCCAATTACTTTGTTCTTATTTATCTCATATGTATCATATTTATCTCATATAATTTTTAATATAATCTTCTTATTTTCATATATTCTTCTTAATTCAACAAATCTTGTGGTTGTTTTGACAAACTTGGAACTATTGTCAGTCATAATGAAAGTTATTTTACAAGGATCAAGCTCAAAGCCAATATGTATGCTTGAGTTGCTCTGCAATCAAATGAATGTGATCGTTAATTGTAATAAAAATACTTTTAAGTATTATACATCAAGCTTGTCTGTAAGACCATGAATTAGAGAATCAGGTCACTAACTAAATCTTAAAACTCATGTTTTTTAATTGTTATCAGCAGTTGAAATTTATGTAGTAGTTGATAATTAAATTGCTTACCTTTGTTTGCAAAGAACTATGTTTGCAAAAAACTATGTTTTGCAAAGAATTATGGTCCTTACTGTTGTTGTTTACTAGTAGTTGCTGAATTCAATGTTGACCACTAATAAAACAAAAGAGATTTTTGCACATGGAGATTTTTGCTGAGCAGACCAGCTTTTCCAACATTTTTAGACATTTCTTTCTTGTACGTTGTACGCATTGTAGTTGCTAACTGACTTAGGATGAACAGTCTGAAATATATATAAATATATATATATATATATATATATATATATATATATATATATATATATATATATATATATATATATACATACATACATATATATACATACATATATATACATACATACATATATATACATACATATATATATATATACATATGTATATATATATACATATATATATATATATATATTTATTTATTTATATATATATATGTAATATATATATATGTATATATATATATATATATATATATATATATATATATATATATATATATATATATATATATATATATATATATATATATATGTATATACATATATATATATATATATATAGGCCTCCGCATTTTAGCGGACTCTGGTAAAACAATTTATGGGAGCAATTTAGGGATCTCGCAAAAGTATATTTATCAATGCTTATGCTTTTTAAAAGACACAGTTGTTGCAAAAAAATTTAAAATTAAAATTGAACCTCAATTTAAATGAGAAGCAGCTTGCACAGCTCCCCAAGTTCATTTTAAGAGAGCTTTTCACTGCTTTCGTGCTCATTTATTCCCGCCGAGAGCTGTATATATATGTATTTATATATATATAAGAAAAAGTTTAAGACAACCCAAGGCTCAAGCAGAAAAATTTTAATATTTTAAAAATGTTAAGTTTTTATTATTCAACTTGTTTCATTCATGTGCAATTTTCATAAACTTTTTTATATGTAAATTCTCTTCTTTGTGTGATATAGTAGAGAAGAAAAAAAGAATGAAAAACAATTGAAATCCTCAGTGCAAAAACAATGTAACTCAATTTTTAAGAACTGTTCAGGAGAATAAAAAAGCAGATTAACTTTGAATGTAGGGAATAGATATGATTCAGTCAAATAGTTAAATGGCATAAGGAGTGCTCTAATCTAAATTATTTTTGCATAAACTGTAAGAGCATTTTATTACTAGTAATATTCCGCTTAAATCAAAAAATCAACAAAAGTGGAGTTACATTATTTTTGCACCAAGCTCTACAAATCATTGCTATTAAAATTTAAATGAATGAATTTGATACTTTGATTGATTTTAATTACGTACATCACTTTTAATTCAGTTTTAAAAAGTTTAAATGATTATTTACATATATTCTCTTCTTTTATATTTATTTTAAGTTTTTAATTATATATGTAAATTAAAAAAATGCTAAATAATATTAAATTTTAAACAAAACGTTTTGACAATTTCCACGTCGTAACTTTGTAACTTCTTAAAAAGCTGAAATAACTTTTTAATTGACGACTGTCGATAAAAACACAATATATTGTATCGAAAGTTTTTGAATATTTAAGTATAGTAATTTAAAACTAAAAATTATAAAATACTTTTTTGTATTTTT